ATAAAATTACGCATCTCTGATATTATTAAAGCAAAGAAAATTCTAAACAAGAAATGGGCACATGAAAATTAGAAATGTTTATTAAATAAAGCAACTTAAATCCTCAAATTTTCTCTAGGGGTTGCTTTTATTAAAATACTAGAGGCCTGGTGCACAAAAATTTGTGCACTCGGGGGGGTCCCTCAGCCCAGCCTGTGACCTCTCACAGTCTGGAACCCCTCAGGGAATGTCCACCTGCTGGCTTAGGCCTGCTCCCCAGGGGACTGAGCCTAAGCTGGCAGTCAGACATTCCTCTGGCAGCCTGGGAGCCCTCAAGGGATGTCCACTTGCCAGTGGGGAGAAGGCCTAAGCTGCGGTCAGACATCCTTAGCACTGCTGAGGAAGCAGGAGAGGCTCCCACCACCACTGCTGTACTGGCAGCCATCAGCCTGGCTTGTGGCTGAGCAGAGCTCCCTCGTGGGGAGTGCACTGACCACCAGGGGACAGCTCCTGCATTGAGCATCTGTGCCTGTTGGTCAGTGTGTGTCATAGTGACCAGTCATTCCCAGTCGTTCTGCTGTTAGGGTCAATTTGCATATTACCCTTTTATTATATAGGATAGAGGCCTGGTGCACAGGTAGGGGCTGGCTGGTTTGCCCTTTGAGTGTCCTGGATCAGGGTGAGGGTCCTGCTGGGGTGCCTGGCCAGCCTGGGTGAGGGGCTGAGGGCTGTTTGCAGGCTGGCCACACCCCCTTCAGGGTGGGGGTCCCTACTGAGGTGCCTGGCCAGCCTGGGTGAGGGGCTAATGGCCATTTTCTGGCTGGCCATGACCATCGGCTAGAAGCAGGTATCTGGGATTTATTTATCTCCTATAATTGAAACTTTGTAGCCTTGAGCGGAGCTCAGGGCAGGCAGGAAGCTTGGCTTCCTCCATCGCCAGGGGCAACCCAAGCCTCCTGCTGCTCCAGTTCCTTGGCCGCTGCCATCTTTGTGAAGGAGTGAGGGAGTGATGGAGTGGGGGAGTGATGGTTAATTTGCATATTACTCTTTTATTAGGTAGGATGACTGCATTTATTTTATTTAATGTTTAAGAGTAGCTCTTTTAGAGTTCTTATTTTACAATTGACCTTGGAGAAGGAAAGTTAATGTTTAGCTTCATTGTAAACCATTATCTAATTGATCAGTAAATATTAGGGGGGATAGTATTCTTATATTTTTAGAGGTTTTATTTTAAAATAGACATTGGGAGAGGAAAACTGATGTGTTTGGCTTTATCTTAACTCATTGTCTATTTGACCAGTAAATACAGGGATTAAACAGTATTCTGACTCAGCAATACTGGGGAAAATGAACCATTACAGAAAAGACAGGAAATCTACATAATTCTAAGGGTGGAAATAAAAAAATAAGAGGAGGGAAGAAATGTTACGGTTTTAACTGACCTTTGGGATTTGGAGTCCACTGAACTCTGTTGGTTGGTGTCTCTGTTGCCAATATATGGATCCTAAATGGACTGTTTCCCTTGTCTCAGCCCCATCCACACTCTGTGAAGGCAAAATCTCTTTGAGCTGTGACACACAGAATTTGGGTGAGAAGCCAACATAGGGTTCCCCTTCACAGCTGCTCCTCGCCCACTTCCCCGGCATTGCGAAGGACCCCACATCCCATCTCAGTGCCCCTACCCAGCCTGACCTTGCTATGCTTCTATGCACAGGACAGTGCCCAGTCTTCCTCCCTTTTCTTTCTGGTCAACTCACATTTGCCCAGTGAGATTAAGAAACTCCCCAGTGCCATTTCATTTTGTCAAATTAAAAATTATGCCCTTCTGTGAAGTGCCCATACCTTTCTTTAGCTGTTTTTTTTATTTTGTTTTGTTTTAAATTACATTCACTTTTAAAAGGTTACTTTCTGATGCTGTATGCCATCCCATCAGATTGGCAGAAGGACTTGGTAAAACCGCACCTGGTTCCTTGGTAAGAAGGAGTCACCTCTCCACCCACCCCACCCCCCATCGACCCCCACCTTTGAAGCAACTCAGCAAAATATTCAGAGAACCGGGCTACACTATGTCAGAATTATCAACAAAGGACATGACACATACTGAGGAAATTATAAAATGTGTGTCACATACAAAAAGCATGTCAGGTGCAGCCGCCTCCTCTCAACACAGGCTCAGGCCCAGCCCACATGCAGGCTCTGTGCTCCTTGGCTGGGGAGGCAGTAGAGATGTGGCTAGGCTTTTCAGTTCCCTGCAAAATAGCACTTGATTGCATTGTCACTGAGGTAGCAGCGTTACTTTATTTGGCCTGAATTTTCATTATAGCATTCTTATATCATTATAGGTTTCAGTTATGCTTTAGAAGTGCTCTTTTCCAAATGTATAGATTAGCTTATTTAATGAACCTGCTAGATTGCATGGCCTGGGGGAAGAGTCTGTCCAAAAGAGCTTGCCTTTCATCTCCACGGCAACGTCTACCCGGGAGAGATGAGTCAATTGCCACATTTTCTCCTCTCTCAGTAGCTGCCTTTGAACTTTGATTCACTGGCTTAAGGTACTCTGCAAATTCAACTTATAAATCAGTCCTGGAGACCTTGTTTGTAGTGGAAATGAGGGGCGGGCTTGGTTGACCCTCTTGATTTTCCAGCCCTGGTAGGGATGGCGTTCCTAACCCTGGTCGTCACTCTGCCTACACTGCACATGAGCTGGGCGGGGACCCCCATCAGCTGCTCTTTGCGAGTGGTTCTTCGGTTCTTCGGATCTAATGGACTTTGCTTATTCGCAGAGGATGGCTCCTCCCTTGAACTCCTTCATTTCATTTCTTTTCCTTCCCAGATATCTCTTGCTTTTTCCACAGCACGTTTCCCAATTGTTTTTGAACACTTTAGCTTGCTAATGCTGGACATTCCTAGCTCTAGTTCTGCTTTAAATGTGGTTCATATTCTACTTCTTTTCCTCCAACAGAATGAATTAATATTTGGAAAACCAGCCTGTCTTAATTGTTATCACATTTCACATCTTATGCTCCAAAACAATTATCCCATTTTATCTGAAAGTGTAAGTAACATGTAGCTTTATGAAAGAACATATTACAGAAGATTTTTTAAATCTTCCTGAAGAAAAGGAGAGAGGAACATAGGCATAAAGAAAATAAAAATGGCCGAAACCGGTTTGGCTCAGTGGATAGAGCGTCGGCCTGCGGACTGAGAGGGTCCCTGTTTGATTCCGGTCAAGGGCATGTACCTGGGTTGCGGGCATATCCCCAGTAGGGGGTGTGCAGGAGGCAGCTGATCGATGTTTCTCTCTCATCGATGTTTCTGGCTCTCTGGCTCTCTCCTTTCCTTTCTGTAAAAAATCAATAAAATATATATAAAAAAGAAAATAAAAATGGCAATAAATACCTATTAAAATAACCTTAAATGTAAATGGATTAAATGTTCCAGTCAAAAGACATAGGGTGACTGAATGGATTAAAAAAAAAAACAGGTGACCAATATATATGCTGTCTACAAAAGAGACCCATCTCAGAACAAAAGATACACACAGACTGAGGGTGAAAAGACGGAAACATATATTCCATGCAAATGGAAAGGATAAAAGGCGGGGGGTAGCAACACTCATATCAGACAAGTTAGACTTCAAAACAAAGGACATAACAAGAGACAAAGAAGTCAGTCCATAATACTGAAGGGAAGGCTTCAATAAGAAGATATAGCCCTTGTAAACATATATGCACCCAATATAGGAGCACCCAAGTACATAAAAAAAGTATTGATGGACTTTAAGGGAGAGATTGACAGCAATACAGTCATAGTAGGGGACTTTAACACCCCAGTGACATCACTGGATAGATCTTCCAGACAAGGAAACAGAGGCCTTAATGACACACTTGATCAGGTGGATCTAACCAATATTTACAGAACATTTCCCCCAAAGCAACAGAATATACATTCTTCTCAAGTGCACATGGAACATTCTCAAAAAGAGAACACATGTTAGGGCACACAACAAGTCTATACGAACTCAGGAAGATTAATATAATAGCAAGCATCTTCTGGGATCACAATGGCATGGGGTTAGAAATCAACTACAATAAAAAAAAACACCTCAAAAACACTCAAATACATGGAGGTTAAATAGCATGTTATTAAACAATAAACAATGAATGGGTTACCAATGAGAACAAACAAGAAATGTAAAACTCCCTGGAAACAAGTGAAAATGAACACACAGCCACCCAACTCCTATGGGACACAGTGAAAGCAGTCCTGAGAGTAAGGTTCATAGCACTGCAGGCTTCCCTCAAGAAAAAAGAAAAAGGACTCATAAGTTATCTAACCTTACAACTACTAGTAAATGACTTCGAAAGAGAACATGTGAGTCGCGACCATTGGAAAACACATATAGCATATCAGATATTTACATTACGATTCATAACAGTAGCAAAATTACAGTTATGAAGTAGCAACGAAAATAATTTTATGGTTGGGGGTCACCACAACATGAGGAACTGTATTAAAGTGTCGCAGCATTAGGGAGGTTGAGAACCACTGGCTAGAGGAAGTATAAGTAAGGAAATAATAAAGATCAGAGTGGAAATAAATGACATAGAGACTTTAAAAAATGACAAAAGATCAATAAATCCAAGAGCTGGTTCTTTGAAAAAATAAACAAGATTGATGACCCCCTAGCCAGACCCATCAAGAAATAAAGAGAGGAGACCAAAATAAGTAACGTTAGAAATGAAAGAGATGCTATAACAACAGGCACCTGTATATGTCCTTTCATAGCTGACAAATGAGCTCATATTGGAGAGACAGATTCTAATGTCCAGAAAGCATAGGCTATATTTTATTTCTTTTGAAAAATGATTGTCTAATAAATACCCGTTTCTGAATGTTAAAGAACAACAATAACCAAAACATGTATTAAAGTTTTCTTCCTGGCCATTCTCTCAAACATGTCCTCCCTGGACAGCATGCTGAGGCCCAAGCCAATCTTCCCATGTCTGTGTTCTGTGCAGGTTGTTCGATTACCACGGCCGCGTGCCTCCACCTCCCCGCGCGGTCATCCCGCTGAAGCGCCCCAGGGTGGCTGTCTCAACGACTCGCCGGGGAAAGGGGGTCTTTTCCATGAAAGGGGGGTCGAGATCTGCTGCCAGCGGGTCCTCTTCATCAGGCTCGAAATGTAAGTAGCCTCCTTCATCTCCTTTTTTTTTTAATTTTTTTTTTGAGCTAACCGGTCCTTCATCTCCTTTTAAAGAGGGTGGGGTAGATACATTGCGTGAAGCCTGTGCCAGCAGGTTGCCACACAAGCAGAGTGTCTGCTGTGCACTAAGTACTAGAGGAAAACTGGTAAGAAATGGGTCACTTTCCAGCACAAACGCAGGCGTGATTGACGAAACCCAGGAGCACTTTGAAAACTTTGATCTGAGCAAATAACGAGCTGTTGGCCCCCTTAGCTTGTGGCATTTAAAGTCCTGAAGCAGAACATGTTGCTTTCAGTGAATGAACAATTTCCCTTCTGAATATAGTGCATATACTACCTTTCTAGAGGAACATTATGCAAAATCTATGCTTGTGTGAGTAATTGAAAATGCATTAGGATCATGAAGATAGGCAAACTGCATAGTAGAGGTATAAAAGTGTAACTTGCCATCCTACTCTAAGTCATTATGAGTTACTAGAGGCCCAATGCATGAAATTCATGCAAGAGTAGGCCTTCCTTCCCCCAACTGCCGGCACCACCTTCCCTTGACACTCAGGACCTGGGCTTCCCTCTGGCCACTGGCACCCAGGACCCAGGCTTCCCTCCTGCCACTGGCAGGCACCCAGGACCTGGGCTTCCCTCGAAGCCCTGGCTTCGTCTGGAAGGTCATCCAGAAGGAAGTCCTGTCTAATTAGCATATTACACTTTTATTATTATAGATGTGTCTGCAGACATACTTAATGTTATAAAAATAAAATATTTATATAATTTTACATTGCTGAAAGGTAGAGACACAAACTTTCTAACTAAACACACTTCTAAATTTTTACACAGACTGATTCAGGAAAAACTCTAATATATTATTGGAATACTATCCCTAAGGAAAAGTGAGTGAAGTTTCCTGCATTCTTTGAGATTACATTCTAGCAGAGAAGAAACAGACAATAAGTAAGCAAATTAAAATATGAGGTAGTACATGGCCAATTGCCACTATGTTGAGGAATCGAGTAGAATAGAGACAGAAACAGAAAACGTTGGGAGAACTGTGTCACAGGATAGTCTATGACAACCTCTTGGACGAGATGACATGAGCAGAGACCTCAAGGAAGTGCATGAGTGCCCGGCTGTCATGGTTCAATGGTTGAGTGTTGACCTAAGAACCAGGAGCCCACGGTTTGATTCCTAGTCAGGGCACATGCCTGGGGTTGCAGGCTCAATCCCTAGTAGGGGCCATGCAGGAGGCAGCTGATCAATGGTTCTCTCTCATTGTTGATATTTCTATCTCTCTCTCCTTCTCCCTTCCTCTCTGAAATCAATAAAAATATATTTTTAAAGAAGAAAAGAAAAGAAAATGCATGAGTAAGAGTCCTCCAAAGTTGTCCGGGCAGGGCGTTCTGGGCAGAGAGAACGGTGAGCACAGACTTGTTCAGTCAGCGTAGCTGGGGAACAGGGAGGGAGCCAGGAAGGTGCAGAGCTGGAGGGGTCTGGGAGGGAGGAGTGTGGCTGATAACAAGCTCAGAGAGGTGGGGGAGGCAAGATTCAGTGCAGCTTGGAGGCCCTTAGCGGGACTTTGTGGTCACTCTGCATCCTAGCCCTTTAAGACAAGGCAAATACTGTTCTCCCAATGCATCGATGAGTAAACACCAGGAGGTCACATGGCTGGTAAGGGGAGAGCCAGGCCTGCAGCCGGGCCTCGTGCCTCCCATGCCAGGTGCTGTACCTACCACATGGCATTGCCCTGACCTTCGGGACTCCCAGAGGTGCTAAGACGGAATCACCGAAATATTTTGTCTTTACTGAAGGTGTACAAAAAACTAGCTCAGGGAGAAGGACTACACTGATGCTCTGGTAACTGATAAAAGTTTGGTTTGCTCAGAATGTGGCCAAGAATGTGACCTAGTTAATGTCACCCAAATAGCAAATAAAATAGATTTACAGTTCCCTGTGTGCTTATCTGCCCATTTGTCTATCTGCTCTGTGGTAGCTAAACATGAATTCCCTTTCTGAGTCTTAGTAATAAAATAAAATGAGTTTCAGCAGCAGTTCCTAAACAGAGTGCTCTCAGATGATTGTCAAAAGTAAAGCAAAGTTCTTGAATTTGGTTTTTCTGTGGGAAATTGAACATTGAATTGCCTGTTACATTTACAGAAGACTTTTTCTACCATGGTAATATTAACTTAACTTCACACAGAAATATCAGGCTCTGTGGATTCTTTGCCCTGCGGTCGCTTTTAAGACAAAGTTTATCAATGGCAACATTGTTGGCCTATTGGCCACAGCGATTCTTCATCGCATGAGCGTGTTCTGTGCTTTGCAGATCATGTAGCATTCCTGACCCCACCCCCAGAGGCCGGTGGCAGCTCTGTCTCTGTAACAACCAGAAAGACCCTGGCACTAAGGCCGTGTCCCTACTGGTGGCCCTGCCCTCCTTGGTGGCCTCCTCTGGCAAGTGCCACTCAACTGTGCAGACTCGGCCACGCGGAGGCCTTCCCCGCCTGCCCTGCCCGGCGTGCAGAGAAGACTGGGGGGATCCAGGGGTTATTCTAATGTAAAATCTTAGTATTCAAGTATTTTTCACCTTTGTATTTTTTGATTTCTAGTTTCTCTTGGGTCATGGAGAGAAAATGGGGATGATGAAAATCCTTTTGAGGTTTTTATTAAGAATGTTGGGCTCGTAAAGAACAGATTGTCTAAATCGGCAGTTCTCAACTGTGGGTCGTGACCTCTGTGGGGGTCGAATGACCCTTTCACAGGAGTCACCTAAGACCATCGGAAAACACATATAATTACATATTGTTTTTGTGATTAATCACTATGCTTTAATTATGTTCCATTTGTAACAATGAGATTGGGGGTCACCACAACATGAGGAACTGTATTAAAGGGTCGCAGCATTAGGAAGGTTGAGAACGACTGTTCTAAATGGACATATAAGCAGGCCCTATTTTCTGCTTCCAGTGTAGGGCTGAGGGTGTGTGTTACCCTGTGGACTGTGTTACCCAAATCCTCCATAGCCCTGCTGTGTTGTGGCAAATTGATGTCAACTTCTGAGGGTGATGAAGACCCTCTACCACCGTGGTGATTTCACTTTTTTCTTTTCTTGAGATTTTGGTTTATATCCTATGCTGCTTGCGTGGTTTTTATGAAATAGCTTATAATAATAATAGGAAAAAGAATAATAGCTAACACTTTTTTAGTGTTTATGATAGCTATGGATTCAAGTACTTTACAGATATGAACTAATTTATTCGCCGTCACTGCCCTGTAAGTGAGGTATTAGTATGTCATTCCCACTTTACAGGTGTAAAATTATAATTTTTCATTTATGATTAACTAATATGTTGGATTATATTTCTTCCATCATCATGTCAGGTGTATAATTTATTGTTTTCCCTCTTTTCCTTTCCTTACTTTTGCTTCCTTAATGAATTTTCTTTTAATTCCCATGTCTTCCACAGAAACTACCTTTATTTGGATATTTCACTAGCCTCCTGTTTCATTAGTGGCTATATTAACATACTAAACTGTTTTTGAAGAGTAACAAAGTTAATGTGAATGTTAAAGTCACATGATTACAAACCATTTTACATTTTGTAAATAGCTCAGAGGAAGCACTGTGTTGGTGACAAACAGTATGATTACTTATTTAGACAGTGGTTTCTAAGAGGTGGCACGCTGGACATTTTCAGATAGCGCTTTGCTGTGGTGTAAGGGCTAAGTGTCCTGCACGTTGTAGGACACCTCACAGAGCGGATGCCCACTAAATGTCAGGAACACCACCCTCTCCAAGTCATGGCCATCAAACAGGTCTCCAGACATGGCAGAAGTGCCCTGCAGGGGGCTATTGCCCTCTGTGACAATCACTGATAGAGGCAGCGAGCTGAAGAGTCTTTATTTGTCCCTGGGTAGACTTGCCCCACAGGAGATGAACATAATGGAAATATTTTCCATCACATAAGTCAGAGCGGCACACATCTTTCGATGCAGGCAGACAGCGCCATCCTGTACGCCCATTTCCTTCTCAGATTGTATCTCACTGCAGCAAAGGGCACAGCCATCATTTTGTTGACTGCATCTGAATGTAATAATGTTTATCACCAAATCAATGAGCTATTTAGAGAGAGCAGGTCTGAAATTATTTAGCATGCCTTCTTTTTTCAAAATAAAATCCTGCAGTGACAGCTTAGGAGAAAATGTTTAAGATGGTCTGTGTGATATAACCTAATCCTAGTTTCTCTAGTGTCTAAAAGCAAGTTAAAGCCATTTATCCTAGAACCTGTTAGGTTTTTATTTTCATTTATCATGTTGCTGATCTTGAAGAATAATTTTAAATTCAAAGCCTATAACCAGTCATAGAAAAATAAGTTATTATAGTCAACTAGACAAGCATAGATTTTTATTATGACATTATGTTTTCTTTTTTATGTTTACAAGTTATTTATTTTCTTACCAAACATATGAATAGAGTTGCATAGTTAACAGCATGTTTTTTTGTCCTTTTTTTTTGCAAAGCTTTTGTTGTAGAATTTATCTAGAGGAAAGGAGTAAAAGACATAAAGATAAAGGCATCATTTCAACAGAGGAAATACCCTTGTAAATATCAATGCACCTAATATAGGAGCACCTAAATATATAAACTCCCTTGGAAGGCAGTATCTGATGTCATCCAAAACACATGTTATGAATGCAAACTCAAATACTAGCCAGGCCCATCTTATATAGTAACTTAAAATGCCATCTCTAACTGGTTATCCACTTATTTACTTTCCTACTTTTGCTCTCTCCCATCCTCCAGACTCATATACCCAATGCCTACTGCTCACATGTGCATGAGGACTAGCAGGCGTGTCACAGGAAACCGGTTTAAACAAAACTACTGGGACCTGGGCCAGTGAAATCTGGTCACTGAAGCCCCAGGCATGGGAGAGTCTGAGAAAACCCCTTTACTTCCCAGTGGGCTCTCACCCCCCTCCCCTCCC